CAGTCCTTTCCTCTGTTAACTACTTCCTATATATATGCCCTGTATATAACTTTCTTTGTATATTTTTGTTTGCATGTTGTCTCCCCCATTAGATTGTAAGTTCCTTGAAGGCAAGACTGTCTTTTGCCTCTTTTTGTATCTCCAGAGCTTTGAACAGTGCCTGGCACGCAGAAGACACTTAATAAATGTTTAATAAATATATTGGTGGATTGATTGAAGGCTTGGGGTCCAGGAGACTGGACTGGAAGTCAACAGGAGTGGCCAAATGACAAAATTCTTTTAAATCTCCAAGATGTATTTGCAGAGGATTAAAAGGCAAAGAGATCCATCAGTTGGGAAATGCCTAAACAAATTTTAGAACAGGAATTTAATGGAATATTACTCTGTTCTAAGAAACAACAAATATGATGAATAGAGAGAAGCATAGAAAGACTTACATGAACTGATACAAAGTGAAGTAAGCAGAGCCAGAAAAAAATCTATCTGTCATGACTACAACAATACAAATGAAAATAAATGTTGCAGAATTACAAAGAACAAGGCTGACCCCAAAGAAGAGATATAAGAAGATCCATCCCCCAACCCCTTTGCAGAGGTGGGAGGTCCACAAGGGTAGTACATTGCATATGTTTCCATATTATTTTTTGATATGTTGATCAGTTTGTTTATGGGTTTTTTTTTCCTTTTTTAAAATTTTTTTATAAGGAATGGTTGTCCGGTTTGAAAAAGATCTCTCATACACACACACACACACACACACACACACACACACACACACACACACACACCTTTCTGCATGAGTCACAGAATTTCAAAGTTGGAAGGAACCTCATCAACCAGCTAGTCCAATCCATACTCAGAAAAGATTCTGTGCCCAAACACCACCTTTGTCCATCTAGTGATTCTTTAAATACTTCCTATCAGGGGCAGTCCGCTAGTTCCTGAGACAACCCATTCCAGTTTGGCACAGTTCTCCTTGGTTCCTAGTTTTTCCTTATATTAAACCTAAATTTGCTTCTTTGTAATTTCTACCCCTTGCTCTTTGGTCTGCTTTCTCAGGCCAAACAGAACAAGCTTTATCTTCTTCCACTCAACTGCCTTTCAAGTACCTTAAAGATGGAATCCATTGGCCCCACCTCTCACCCTCTAGCCTTCTCTTTTCCAGCCTAAACATCCTTGGTTCACATAACTAAGTTTAATATGCCATGGACTTGAGGCCCTTCATTATTCTGGAGGACCCACTCTATCCATTCTGCACCTTTTCAAGGTTTTTTTTCCTCTAAAATATGATACTCGGACACCAGTGAATTAGCTGGCCTTCCTTTGAAAGGTCACAGTCCTTGCTATATGCACATGAGCTCATTTGTATCATTCACATTGAAAGTCCATCATGGAGAAATGAGAGCATTAAAAACACAAGTAGTTTTATTTAAATACCGCATTCATGCAAACAATGATATGCACATACCATTCAAAACTGTTCAATTTTAATAGTTGAATCAAAATTCTTTCACGTTAAACCAAAACATAAATTGAATCCAGACAATTCAATTTGCAAATTTGCTCATAATTGATCCTTTTTTCCCCCTACTTCTTATGCTGCCTGTTAACTTCAGATACAGAAGTCAGTCCAAAGGAATATCAGTTCTGCTGCTTTCTGTCTGTACAATCGGCAAGTTATTTCCTTTCTCTTGGCTTTAGTTTCCTCCTATGTAAAATTAGGGCTGGATGATCTCTCCTCTTTCTTCCTCCCCTAAATGTATCACTCTATAACACCAGTAACTACTGTGAGAGGGGGAAGGCCAATGGTTAAATAAAGTTAAATAAAATCCTTCCAGCAAATAAAATTATCTGTGGTTATCTATGACTTTCATTTACCCACAGAAGCCTGGACAATCAATAACTTGTTCTTAAAGAGACTTGTGTACCCATCACTGAAATGCAATCATACCAGGGGGTTCCTATCATTGTTTGTTATGGTCTGATTGTAGCCATATTATACTGTAGGGAAGTGAAACTTATCCCAAATAGAAAACCAAACTATATCATTTTTCTTTCAAGTGAAGGACGAAAGACAAAATTAAATGATGAAAATTATTTCATAATATAATCTTAACAAGTTCTCCCATAATCAAGGATTATTGATTAATCACTATTTCCTATGCAAAGAAATAGTCTCCCTATCACCACACCCCAAACACCAAAAAGCAAAGAAGCAAATCTAATATGGCTGAATTGTGATCTAGGATACCCATCAACCTAGCCTAGCTCACATGTGTGAAACATGGATTCAAAGGGAAGGGTCTTTCAGAAGTTGCCTTAAAAGCCCGATGCTATTGTCTTTTTTTGTCTGGTAATACAGTGAAGCACTTAGCACTTAATCTCGTATGCAGAACATGCCCCACAAACACTCGGTGAATAAACAAGGCCTTTCCCCTCCAACTTAGCAGCCTTCTCAGGGTTATTATTGGTGCAGTGGGTAGAGTGCTGAGTTCAGAATCAAGAAGATTTATCATCCTGAGTTCATATCCAGCCTCAGACTCCTGGGCAGAAAATTTAACCCTGTTTGCCTCGGTTTCCTCATCTGTAAAATGAGCTAGAGAAGGAAATTGGCAAACCACTCCAGTGTCTCTGCCAAGTAAACCCCAGATGAAGTCACAAAGAGTTCAACGTGACTGAAACGATTGAATAAAAGAACTATTAGAAAACACCTGATCTTTCACACACCCACTATCTCAGAGTGTAAGCTCCTTTGAGACAATTGCATTGTCTTATTTATCATTGTTGCTCCCCAAGTGTATGGGCACGTGCACTTTGTACAAAAATGATATTAACAATATTTGCTGGATGAATAAAAAAATGAAGGCATAGCTCTGTAAAAGCAGAGTCAGGAAGGCTGAAACTCCGAAGAAGCTGAGGCTAGCTATGAATGCCAAGAACAACTAAAAGGTTTTGTGGGGTTTTTTTAAATTCTGTATTGAGGGAAAAAAGAGGATCAAAGAGGGCCATTACTCAGAATGGATGAGGTGATAATAATAGATAACAGAGAGAATATAGAACTGTCCTGCTCTTGTTTTGCTTCTGGGTTTTGTTTTGATTTTTTTTCTGCCAAAAGAGAATGATTTTTGGACTGGAAAGGATGAAACAAAAAAATAATGGCTAATGAGGGAGTTAAAGCCAAAAATAACCAGAGAGATAATAAAAGAGCACTTAGCTGCTCTTGATGATTACAAATCACTAGGACTGGATAAACTACATCCCTTGGGAGTGAAAGAACCATGGATGTATTTGTTGAGCTACTATTGGCAATCTTTGAAAGATGTTGGAAAATGGGAGAGAGGTCAGAGGCCTAAAGAACTGCCTTGATTTCTGAAAAAGTAAGCGAAGGCAAACTGTAAACCATAGGCCAATTGGATGGACTTTGATTCTTGAAAAAAATCAAGAATTATTAAAGGGATGGTGGATTAACATATAGAAAAGGAAGTAATGATCACAAAGAACCAGCATGAATCATTACAAACAGGCCATGCCAGGCTTACCTCATTTTCTGTTTTGACAGGGTTACTAGACTTGTAGACAAAGGGAACTCCATAGATGTGTGAGTAACAATTTATTATTATTTATTATGGTTAATGAATAGTAATTAATAAAAAAATAATAATTTGTATGGTACTTTAAGGTTTCCAAAATGTTTACATGTTATCTCATTTGATTTCTCACAACAACCCTGTGAGGTGGGTGCTATTATTATAATACCAATTTTGCAGATAAGAAAACAGTCTGAGAGATCAAGGAACTTGCCCGTGTCCCATCACTAGTAAGTATCTGAAGCAGAATTTGAATTCAAGTCTTCTATCACCACAAGTCTAGTGTCTTACTTGCTACTGCGCATGGTTTATTTAGATTTAGCAAGGCATTTCACAATGCTTTTCATGCTATTCTTGTGAACAAAATAGAGATTAGGGAGTTGTGGACAACTATGGCTAAGCTATGGCTACGTAGTAATTCATCTGAAAGAAATGTAGTTGTTTTAATTGACTACAAACTTGAGAAGAGTCAACAGTATGCTACAATAGTAAAAAAAAAAAACTAATTCATCCTTAAGTTCCACTAAGAGAGAAACAGTGTCTAAAACTAGGGAAGTGATGGTTCCACAGCAGATGTCCTAATCAGACCATTGTTCTGGATAGGATATTGACAAACTACAGCATTCAGAGAAGAACAGCCAATGGCATAGTAAAGGTCCTTGCCATCTTGACACACAAAAATCACTTGACTGATGTGGGGATCTTCAGCTTGGTGAATAAAAGACTAATGGAGTACAAATTAGCTGTGTCAGAAGGACTTTTGTATGGAAGAGGGATCTGACTTAGTCTGCTTGATTGGAAAGGACAGGACTAGGAACAAAACTCTGCAGAGAGGCAGATTAAGCTCCATTTAGGAAAAGAACTTATTAACAACTCAGTCTATCCAAAAGTGGAATGGGCAGCATGAACAAATATTTTCTTAATGATTTTTAAAATGTGGAATGAGCTTTCTTGAGAGGAAGCTGACTCTACCTCCCAAAAGGTTTTCAAGCGAAGATATGCTTATCGGGGATGGTAGAGAAGGGATTCTTATTTAGATGTGGTTTGGCCTTTGAGATCCCTTACAACTTTGAGCTTCTGAAGCCATAAGCCCAGATAGAAGAGTATGAAATATTAAGTCATGTGGACATGCATCGTCATCCATCATTCATGCAAATACTAGTCTCCTTCCGCCTATGCCTCATTAGAATTCAAAATAGAATCTCATTAGATTGGAAGCTGCTTGAGGGAGGAGCCCAAGTATAAATATTCTTCTCATCTAGTACCTTGTATATACAATAAATTTTTAATAAGTATATACTGAATTGAATTGAATACTTTTTTAAATAACATTTTCTTTTTCCCCAGTTACATGTAAAGACAATTTTAATATTCATTTAAAAAATTTTTGAGTTCCAAATTTTCTCTCTCCCTTCCTCACCTCCCTCCCTCCTGAGACAGTAGGCAATTTGACATAGGTTATACATGTTCAATTATGCAAACATATTACCTTATTCGTCAGATTGTAAAAGAAGACCCAGACCCAAAGGAAAAAAAAACATGAAAAAAATTCAGAAAGTGAAAAATAGCATGCTGAGGTGAACTGAATTCTAACAGAGACTTTGAAGAACTCACTTTCTACACCTCCCACTCCCAAATACTACATAGGCCAGCAGTCTCCCACTTTGCTGATTAGACAGTAATGTGGTGCAGAGGGATGAACACTGAACTTAGAATCATGGGAATCAAATTTGAATTTACATTCTACTACTTATTAGCTTTATAATTGTGAGCAAGTCACTTAATTTCTCTGGGCCTTGGTTTGTTCCAATGTAAAACTGGGAAGGGGGAGGCGGGAAGAGGGGTTGGACCAGATGACCTTTAAGGTCCTTTTCAACTCTCAATCTATGATCCTATGAGTTACCCTTCTATGAAGAGCAAACATCCACACCGGCACACATTGCTCTGGAAAGCCCTCTTGCTTCTCTTCCCGAAGAATCACCAGCCCACTCTTGTGAATGAGGCTCCGGAGGATGTCCATGTCCCGGATGACACTGCTGTCAGATGAATCAAAGATACAACCCTGGCGGGCCACATTGTCCTTCAAGATGATGATGCCACTCTCTTTCAGGCCTTTACAGCAGCGAGAAAGAAACTCAAGGAGGTCTTTATCAGTTAGGTTCCCTGTAGGTAGGAGGATAGAGGTATAACAGTGGGTCAGTGGGTTGTTAAAGAGCACCAGTCTGAGTTCTGGTTCCAGTTCTGCTACTCTTAGATCAATCATTAAACTCTGGAAGATAGGGATGGGTCTACTCTATCAGCCTCATAGGGATTTTGTCAGAATAAAATGGAATGAGGATTCAAAGTGCTTAGGAAAGTTGTGTCAGACAGACGAATTATGGATCATCCATTGCATTTTATTAAATCTAAAAGATATTAATAGTTGACTTACTCTCTTAATTGAACCCTTCTCAGGGCAGAGTGTACGTGTGTGTGTGTGTGTGTGTGTGTGTGTGTGTGTGTGTGTGTGTGTGTGTAAAAATCCATCTTATAGGATTTTCTCATGTTTTTAATGAGGACAATGAAGAAAAAGAGATCCATCCTACAACCCTTGATAAGAACATATCCCATCAGTTAACAAGGCATTAATTCTGATGATTCCAGCTCTATTCTCCTGCCACTCCTAATACATATTAAATATATTTCATTCCAGAATATAGACCACATCCTTTGAAGTGAATTCACTATAAATGGAAAAAAATACACCAAAAAGTAGCTGAAAAAAATTATAAAAATTATTTCACTCAACATATAGGTATTTTATGTGATTTTTTTTTATATTTCTCTAAATTCAAACAAAAACATTCTCATAAAGTTTATTATCATTGCTTTATTCATCTTCATGATTTTTCATTATCTCTCTGAGAGTATAATCTACAAGCCTCATTCCAATCTTCTATAAGCTGGATGTACAAGGGATGTGCAGCTTTTTTCAGTATAGTGCTTCCTAAAATTTTTCTTCTGAATCTGGGCTTCCTGTTTTCCTTCTAGCTAGAACAAGGAAAACGGAAATGTTAGAGTAACACAAGACTAACCAGAAACCCACTGAATCCAAATGACATCATATTTTCTGAGAGCAGGCGTAAATTCCTGAAGGCTGTAGCAGTAATATGTTTCTACTTTGTCACCTTTGGCTTGTAGGTAATTCTGAGCTTCAGCCAGGAAAGCTTCCATCATGTCCACAACAGTTCCACACTGTTGAAAACTGGCAACAAGACATGTTTGCTGACCCTTCCTATTCCAGAACCACAGTCCAAGGCACAGTCAGTACCTGCTTTCCCAGGACCCTGTAGACAGCAGAAAGAACACATCAAGTTAGACTGTATCTGAAGCAGTGAGTTTTAAACTTCATTGCTGTTATCTAATTATCTCAAAGGGTAAAAGCACAGACTCTTAGAGTAGGAAGACAACTAAAACATCCAGTCCAGCCTATTCTTCTTTCACAAAAATTTTTTTATCTGGGTCTCCCCATGTCACCCAGACTGGACATACAGCAGCCACTTGTGAGCCTGATCTCACCACAGATCAGCAAGAAGATCTGTTCCCTTTCTGACCTGGGCCAATGTGCCCCTTTTTAGGCAGCCTGGTCACTTCTGTTCCTTGGGGGCTCACCATATTGGTACTGGATTTAGTGTGGAAACCCAATCAACCTTAACCCTCTGCGATTCAGAACTCGTGAGCTTAACTGATACACAAGCATCAGCCTCCCTGGTGAAGAAATAAACACCACCTTGGTAGCTAAATGAAGGATGGATTGGAGTGGAGAGAGAATTAAGGAAGTGGAGGCAAATACGGTAGATAGCTTTTCCCCAGGAGATTGACCAAGAAAGGGAGGAGAGTTAAAAGATGATAGATAATAGTAAAAGACTGTTAAGTTGGTAAAGACACAGCGTAGTATTTGTAGGGATTAGGGAAGGAATCAGAACATAGAAAAAGGCTGAAAACATGGCGGCATTAGTGGGGTTAATCTGCTGAGGGAAAAAATCTAGAGAGAATGGGTTCAAGGGTACATGTAGAGGTTTTGGCCTTGATCAAGAGAAGGGCCATCTCTTCATCAGAGACTAGAATAAAACATGGGAGATGATGTCAAGTAATTGTAAGAAAAGAAGGGGAGAAGAAACTCACAGAAAATATCTTTGATTTTCTCAGCAGAATATGACGCAAAATCTGTATCTAAGGGGGTAAGTTTAGGAGGGAAACTTAGAGAAATGAGAAGAGAAGTTTGGACTAGCTGTTATGGTGAATGGGACAAGAAAATCTATTAGGGAAGAGTAGGAAGATTGCCAGGTCAGCTAGGTGGCATAGTGGATAGAGTGCTGGGCTTAGCCCTAGAGTCAGGAAGACTCATCTTCCTGAGTTCAAATCTAGCCTCAGACATTTGCCAGCTGTGTGACCCTTAGGTAAGTCATTTAAACCTGTTTGCCTCAGTTTCCTCACCTATCAAATGAACTAGAGAAGGAACTGGCACTCCATTCCAGGATCTTTGCCAAGAAAACCCCAAATGCAGTCACAAAGTGTTAGACATGACTGAAACAACTACAACCACAAGAATAATTGCCTTGATAAAGTGAGGACCCAGTTGCGATTAGATGATGTTGATTTTTAGCACAGCTGAGTGGCTTTCTCTAGTTCAGTTCAGCAGCAAATGAATAGGACTGGAGGAGATGAACCTGGATTCAACCTAAGCATATTGAAGGGAGGCAGGAGTTGGAGCCATCGCAGCTGGCATAAAAAGTACATGGAATGGGGTAAAGAAAAGAAGACTGGAAAGTAGGAAGGAGCTATGTTGTGAAGAGCTTTAAATGCCAAACAGGATTTTGTATTTGATCCTAGAGGAGATAATAGGAAGCCATTGGAGCTCATTACATAAGGAAGTAAAATGGTCAGACCTACACTTTATAAAAATTACCTTGGCAGTAGAATGGAGATTGGATTGGAGTGCAGAGAGCCTCGAGGCAGAGAAACTAGTTAGAAGCTATTGCAATAGCACCAGCAGGAGCTGAGTAGAGCTTGAACTATGGTTGCGCCTACGTGGAGTTTCCTTCCCTGAACATGCTATGATTTCTCAAGAGATGGATCTATTGTTCCACAACACAAGAGTTACAACAGTATGGGACCTACCTGTCCCGAAGCAAACGGATAGGTCTATATTTTGACTGTAATAAGAAGATCAAGCAGAAGATGACTTGTTTACTCTTGACATTGTTTTAAAAATGGAATCTTTTCTGAAATCTGTTTTGGGAGTACTAAATCATTCTTTAGATGGTCTGCAGTTTATTTTAGGTCCTATGTGGATGGAATGGTAGTGTACCAATCTTCAGCCTCAGTCTTTCACCTCAAAGACTAGATCAGATATTACTTCAGTTCAATTTAATTCAACAGGCATTTATTAAATGCCTACTGAACCTACCCACAAGGCATTATAAAAGGATTCATTCTCCTAGAGGAACACATTTGCATATAAAAGTAAATACAAAGTTAGTCTGCTTATTTTTATTAAGAATCTCCTATATACAAGGCACTGTGCTGAGTTCCTGGGATACAAAGAAAGGCAAAAGACAGTTCCTGCCCTCAAGGAGCTCCCATTCTAATGGACAAGACAACATGTAAATTACTAGATACATAAAAGAAATAAAAAGTAATTTCAAGGTGGAGGGAGCACTCAGAACTGGGGAGATCAGAAATATACCGTGTTCAGTTGGGAAAAAATTGGTCACTTTTCAAGGCTTTTGTAATACCAAGATTTTATTTTATATTTTTAAAATTGCATGACTTATCAACCACCCTGAAACTGGGCAAAAAGCAAGTCTATACATTCCATTACCTGGGGGGTGGGAAGAATTAGCCAAAGCAAACTGTTTCATATTGAAAAAGAAAAATAGAAAAGAATTTTTTTTTATTTTAAAAGTTTCAGCTGCACCAAATTATTTTGCCAAAGTCAGGAAGGCCTCTGAAATTAAGGTAACTAGATACTTAGAGCTGCCAATCAGAAACTTGAGCAGAAAACCCACTCACAATTTCTGGACATCCAGACCAGCGGAAAAAGATACATGAATGAAGAGAGAAGGGAAAGAGCAGAAAAGTCAGTTATCCCTTTCACACAAAGGGCCTTTTTCTCAACTGTATGTGGCTGCCCTTTCAGATGAGGACAACCAGTGTAGCACATAGAGAGATCCCTCAATTTACAAGGCTCCCCCAGAACCTGCTGCCTTGGGTTCAAGGTTCTCTATGTGTCTACATGCATTAAAACCATAGTTCACAAGCTTCCACAAACTTATTGACTTTTAGTAGTAGGCCAGAGAATACAATTAGTTCAAAGCAAAATAATTTAATATAAAGGCATAGTAAAATAGTAGAAATAAAACTTATCCCCCATAAACCTGGAGTACCCTCCCCACACACTACCCATGGGAAGAATAGCCACACACATATGGATCATGTGTGGCCAGGGTGTATGTGGAGGGATGAACTCATGCCTTGAAAAATGCAGCCCCTTTTATATCTTCTGGTGATAACATAGTACAACTTCCTCCTGGCCTAATCTTTGCTTGGCACTAAGCCTCTCCCAGACACAGCTCTATTGGAGCTTTGCTGGACACAGCGCTTCCACGGGACACAGACACTGGCTGAATCTGCCACTCTAATGGAGATGTGGTCTTTGCCAAACCTGGCTCCCCTGGACACCTCTCTGATGGATATATAGTCTTTCCCAGATACTGCCAGGCATAGTTCTACTGGGCATTTGCCTGTGGAGTGTCTCTCTGCTTCCTGTTTCTGGCTTCAGCTGAAGTCCTTCTTGGCTATAATAACATCTCTTCTTTGTGGTAAGAGAAGGCTCTGAAATGCTTTCCTTAAATTCAAAAAATCAAAGACTATTTTAGAGTTCCTTTAGAAAAATAGGCATACAAGCTAGGAGTCCGACATGCAAGTCGCTGCCACAAAGTATTGGAAACTAGGTGTAGAGCCCAAGGTGCCGAAGCCTCAGCAGCACTGAGGTCCAATGAGGCATGGAAGAAGCTGGGGGCTGGTGTAGCCATGGGTAGTTCTTTCTTCATTATTTTTTCCAGGATGTTTGGAACAGGAGATGAATATTTTAATTGGGGGATTAGGTGGAAAAGAAAAAACAACAATTTGGTACAGATTATAAACTGGAGAATTAAATCGAATTAAAGATGGCAGAAATGAAACCATGAAAAAACTTGTATGGGAAACCTTGTGTGAAAATCAGTCAGTGGTTTTGAGAAGAGGAGGTCATCCTCTCCCTTAGGACTGTCAGGTGCTTCTAGGTGTGTGTGTGGCAAGAGCCGAAGAAGTCTGGATTGAGTCAGTGTCCCTTGAGTCATGGCTAGTTGATTGAACCCCTACCCTCAATGTCAAGTCTCCCCCCCACCCAAACAAAAGGCCCCTTGTCTCTTCAACTGATCCTCACATGGTATGATGTTGAAGTCCTTCACCATTCTGGTTGGCCTCCTGTGGACATTATTTTATCAATAACATTGCCAAGATATGGTGCCCAGAAGTGAACACTATAGATGTGATCTGGCCAAGGCAATGGACAATGGTTCCATTGACCCTTCTGTCCTAGAGACTGTCATCTTAAGGCAGCACGTGAATGCACTGGACCATGTAAAATAAGGAGATTGAACCAGTCTTTCCAATTTATACAGGAGGAAACTGGGGTACATAAATGGTAAATTTTAAAAAATCTAAATTTATTAAAACAAAATATGTGATTAAGATGTTTTACTAATTTGATTGAATTATTGAGATATGTGTGTATATGTATGTATGTATGTATTATGTATGTATGTATATATGTAAAAAGAGCTACTCAAACCCAGTCGCTCTTCTAGTCCTTTGTATAATCCTCACATCTCTTTGCCCCATTGCACTTTCCTCATTTTCACAGCTATTTCCTTCTCTTGGGAGTTAAAGAGTTTCTTCCCTTTCTTCCACCTCTCATTCAAAGTTCTCTGAGAAAGAGATGGGAAGACTGAACTCATGGAGGAAGTCCCAATGCTACACACAGATAGCATAAGCACTCTCACTCTGGCTACACTACTTCATCACGACTAGACATATGTCCACTCTCAAATTTCAAAGAATGCTTCTAACAGAGCTCCCTTCCTGCCATGTTTGACATGCAGATGAAATTGTTTCACAAAAACCGTGAAGTGGAACAGGTAGACAAAGGTTTGTTTGGCTGTGCCTAGCCTGTGGGGAATGTAAAAGGCATAAATATTAATGTGTTAAATTCTCTACATTTAAATCATTTCATGAAATCAAC